ATATTGTATACAATCATATAATATAATAATAATTATTATTATCAGATTTAATTTAATTCTCATTATCTTATTATCAGAATTCCTGTCTTGATCTCTGTTTCTAGAAAACCCAATCTAAGACAAGGATAAACCAGAAAAACTGAATGGAGGCTTTTGGGAGGATTCCTTGTGTCAGGGGAAGTGCAATGCAAATCAGGGGACAAAGTCCTCCTCAATGCTGCTAGTTGGAACTGTCCCATCAAAGAACAGCCTGATATCTGAGCAGCACACTCATCAAAGGGAGATGCTGCAGAATGACCTAATGGGATGTAGGAAGGTTATTTTGGAATTATATTTATTATCCCATATTCAATACAATTTTATTAGTAAATGAGCACACATATATTGAATCTAAATTTATTTTACCAATGTGGTAAATTATCTGAAAACTTTGGAACTTGTGATCTACAGCAATGATAATATATCTTTTTCAGCAGTTACAACAGCAGAATTCTTAGTCAAAACCACAGGTTTCTTCATATCACAAATGTCAGTATGTGGGAATACACAGACACACATACAGTTGTGAATGTGCCTTCAAGTCAATGCAAAGGTCACAGAGTGAGCCTCCTCAGACTCACCTTTCCCGTTCTGCTTTATTCTTGATAGATTTATCTTGGCTGATGGCTTTGCTATTTTCCATAGAAATCTTAGCTTGGTGTGCTCGCATTTCCTTGCTTTCCCTAGTATTGAAAACAGACAAATAAACCAATCAATTCCACGTGTAGCAGTAGGCCTAAGTTTGCTTTTTCTTTTTGTTAATTATTGGTCTGATTGAGTTACTTTATATTTTGTGAAAAGAAGGTAAAGCACCCAAACCCTGAGGGGCCGTGAGTCACTTCATGGTGAAATGACATGAATGGATGGTGAAGGAGAGACGATATTATTTTTGTCCATAAATACAGAGATTTTCTGGCTTTGTCCCACACTATCTGGAACCAGATGGATTGGAAGAGATAGAGGATGGTCTAACCTTACAAGTGATTTTCCTGTTTTCTAACAGTCCACAGGGATGAAAGGGATTAAATGGCTCAACCATAGCTGTTATAGTTGTTAGCTGCCATCAGGTTGGCCGTTGACTCTTGACGATCTCTTGCCCAATAAAACCAAATGCTGCCCACTCCTGCACTATCCCTTTGATTGGTTATGGATCAGACTGTTGTGATCCATAGATTTCCATTGGTTGATTTTCCCAGTAGATCATCAGGCTATCCTTCCTTCTTTGTCTCAGTCTGGAAGCCCTGCTGAAACCTTTTCAGCATCATAGTGACACCCAAGCTTCCACTGACAGATGAGTGGTGGCTGTGCATGAAGTGGATTTGGTGGGAATTGAATCTGGGTCTCCCACGTGGAAGGTGAGAATTCTATCACTGAACTATTAATGATCCACTGTTTAAGGATCCCACTCACTGCCACTGAGTCAATTCCACTCACAGTGACCCTATAGAACAGAGTAGAACTCTCCCATGGGGTTTTCAAGCCACTCAATCTTTATAGAAGCAGACTGCCTCATCTTTCTCTCACAGAGCAGCTGGTGGGTTCAAACTGCCAACATTTTCATTAGCAGCTGAATGCTTTAAGCACTTCACCACTATGTTGTTGTTGTTATTGTTATGTGCCGTCGAGTCGGACCCGACTCATAGCAACCCCTCCTTGGGTTTCCGAGGCAGTATGGCTATGGAAGTAGGATTGCCCAACCTTCCTTCCGAGGAGTGGCTGGTGGGTTAGGTGAGCAGCAAAAATGTATGTGTTCAAGGGTGACCAGTCATGGTGTGGGCTAATGCATGTATGTGTACAATAAACACTTTTATTTCTATATTAATTTATTGGTACATTAAGGATATAAGATTTAGAATACTAAAATGGATATTATTAACAAAGCAGTTTTTCTGGAAATGATTTTCTAGAAGCTGTGGAGATGTCCTTAAAGCACTGGCTGGAAATGAGTGAATGAGGAGTCAGGTTACCTAAGTACTGCTACTTATTCTGCATCAAAAGGGACAGATAACACACCGATATAGCAAACTCTTCAGTTAGCTACCTTAAGTCCACAGAAGGTCAGGAATAGGTATATAATCTCCTGGGCCCAAGAAAATGGCTCTCAGTTTTTTCCATTATTTGTGCAAATTGACCATTTCTTTATCAATTCACTTTTTCAATCAGCAAATACTTATCAACGATAAAGTGTGTTGAGAAGAATTAGGAAAGGCAAGAATTTTTAACCAGAACAGTTATGATGATGAAAAAGAATGCATTCATCAGGTAATTGAGGAAAAGCTTAAATTATATTATTGCTTTTAACAATGCTTCCAACATAGATTCATTTTTAAAGATAAATTAGTGATTAGGCAATGGTCTCTTCAAATGAGTTCTTAACTTGGAAGAATGAGTTTTCTTTTTCTTTTTCGTTTTGTATAATACCTACTCTTGTGGGCTAATTTTTAGAAAATTTATTCAATTACAAAAATAAAATTAGAAAAGAGGTAAAATTTACTGGCAGTATCTTATTCTGTGAAGTATCTTTGCCCTGGTAGTGCAAGGGGTTAAGTGCTCAACTGCTAACTGAAAAGTTTAAAGCCACCAGCCACTCTATGGGAGAAAGGTATGGCAGTTTACTTCTGTAAAGATTTATAGCTTTGGAATCCTATAAGGCAGTACTAACTTGTAGGGTTAGAACCTGTAGGGTTTCTATGAGTTGGAATCGACTTGATGGTTATCTTTGAATAAGGGTAGACCTCTAAAATCCAGTATCATAGCAAAGCTCAGAGGCAGAATGCTGTATAGTTCTTTCTGCATATTGAATCAAGACCATTTCCTGAAAGAAAAAAAACAAACTTCTAATCCTATAAAACTGAACAACATATTTTAAAATGGATAAGGTGTAGAACATCATTCCATAGGAAATGTAAGAATGGAAAACTATGGCAAAAATACTTCATGTTCTTATGACTATATCCATCACTCGAAAATAAAGTTGGCAATTTAGGCATGCAACCAGATAATTTATTCATTTGGCATCTTATTTATTTGTATAATGGTTCTACTTTCTCCTCTTTAGTGTGCTTCAATAGAGTTTAACTATGGTGTATAGTAAGGGTATGGTTGGAAGATGTCATTACTTATTTAAAATAGGGACTTGGGCAATATGACTAATTTGAATCACAATACATTGTGACAGAGCCAAATGTTTCATTTCTTCAGAGAGAGGCATGGGTCTTACATATAGTGGCCTAATTTTCTGTATATGATTTTAAGTGATCATGTTTCATAAGTTCTGGTCTCATCTTCCAATACCTAGCCTAAAGTGTGTTTGATATACTATGGCTGGGAGAGGCTTCAGCTCCCAGTGGCTCCTCAACTCACAGGTGAGGAATCCTCTACCTGGGGAAGTCAGGGAATGAGCCTCCAATCAAGGCTGTTGTTGTGTGCTGTTGAGTCGGCCCCGACTCATAGCGACCCCTCCTTGGGTTTCCGAGGCAGTATCACTACGGAAGTAGGATTGCCCAACCTTCCTCAAGGCAGACCTGGGCAATACCTGGGTCTGAGAGTTGCCATCCCTGACTTCTCCAGGTAGAGATAGCTACCCACTCTAACCCCTTCCTCTGCGTCCTTATAGTCTACTGATTAGTGCTCAGTTTCCGTGGACAGGTCTTCTCTGCATTAACAGAGCCTCTTAAGCTTTTTGTCTGCTGCCTCCATGTCTCAACTTCCCATTAGTTATATTTGCCTTAGAGTTTACTGTGGTAGTTAAGGTTGTATGTCAACTTGGCTGGGCCTGGTTGAGTGGGTGGGCAGCTGGATGTAGTATTCCCAATGATGAGACTGGTAATCAACTCCATGGTGGAATCTACTGTGAGCAGCTAAGTAGCTGCTTTAGGGATGTGGAAGCAGTTCCTGTATATAAGGAGATGCCTTGGGGAATGGTCTCTACCTTATGGCACATTTGAACCTGCATGTAGTTGTGTCATTGTTCAGCAGCCTGTCATGCTCTGCTGACCTTGGGACTTTCAATGGACTTGAATTAATGGCCTGTCATGTGGTTTGGTAACATTGGGACTGTGCCTTTTTACTTGTCAACCTTGGGCTTGTCAGTCTCAGCAGCCAGTAGCTGTCTGAGTGAAGAAAAGCCTCTAGCTTCAGTGGGCCCAGAGCAGGAGGCAAAGCTGAAGCCTAAGGTTGAGGGGCTTTCACCCAGACCCTAGAGCCTGGAACTTTGAACTCGGACTTAAAGCCTCCAAACTGTTAGAAAATAAACTCCTGTTTGTTCAAGCCATCCCATTTGTCATATTTTCTTGTCAGAGCAGCACTAGGTAACCAGAACATTTGCTGAACTGGGTTTTACCTCTCTCCCAACCTTGAATCCAGGCTGACAACTTTACCTTATTCAATTGGAGATCCAATCTCACTTCTTCCAAAAATTCTCTAATAAATGCTCTATTATCTAAAAGGATGTCTTTTCTTCTCATTAAACTTCTCTAATGTTTCCATTTGTATATCCTAATCAACCTCACTGCCAGTGAGTTGATTTTGACTCATCTGACCCCTCCTTGGGTTTCTGAGGTGGTATCACCTCAGATTGCCCAAACTTCCTTCCAAGGAGTAGCTGATGGGTTTGAACCGCCAGCCTTCTGGTTAGAAGTCAAATGCCCTAGGCACTATGCCACCAGAGCTCCCTTGTCTATATTGTTGTTGTTGTTGTTATGTGCCATCGAGTCAAACCCGACTCATAGCAACCCCTCCTTGGGTTTCCGAGGCAGTATCACTACAGAGGTAGGATTGCTCAACCTTCCTTCCGAGGAGTGGCTGGTGGGTTTGAACCGCCAGCAGTCTGGTTATCAAGTGTCTTAGCCACTATCCCTGAACTTAGGGAAATTTTTTCCCCTCAAGGGACATTTGGAAATATCTAGAGACATTTTTGGTTATCACAAGAGGATGGAGGTGCTACTGGGACCTAGTGGGTAAAGGCCAGCCATGCTGCCTATTATGCACAGGGCAACTCCCATAATGAAAAAAAAAATCTGGCCCAAAATGTCAGTACAACAATATATTTATAGTTCCATGTTACTGTCGTAGAAAGTTCAACTCCAGAACATTACATGTAACCTGCAGTCCAAGTTCCTCATATGTCCTCTACTCTCTGAACAAATAAACAATGGAATGACATAGAAGAAAGAGAATGCTACTTTGGAGCTCCATGTTTGTAGAGGTTCTATCCAGTCAGTTTGTATTCCCAGCACCCAGTCTGGCAAAAAGCTCGACTGAAAATAATGAAATCATGTGGTTCTCCTAACCGCCCCTGGGTGGTGCAAATGGTTAAGGTGTTCAGCTGTTAACTGAAAGGTTGAAGAGCTCCCAAACCACCCAGAGATGCCTTGAAAGAAAGGCTTGCCAATCTACTTCTGAAAAACCTGCCACTGAAAATCTGAAAGGGGGGAAGTTCAAACCCACTCAGAAGTGCCTTGGAAGTCAGGCTTGGCAATCTGCTTCCAAAAGATCAGTCTTTGAAATCTCTTTGGAGCAGTTTTGCTCCAACGTGAGATCATCATGATTAGGAATTGACTTGATGGCAACTAAAAATAAAACAACAATATTTTATCACTAGCAGTATGTGAGTAGATTCTGGAAAGAAAGACTGGATCAAGAGGTGACAAAGAACTAACCAAGCAATTGTAATAGGTCAGAGAGGTCGTATTACATGAGAAACCTAGAAGAGGAATCTAGCTCTGACTTAGGAGTCAGGTGAAGTTTTTCAGAGAAGGGACAACTGCAGGGTATGGTGAGGAATGGAATGGTGAGGTAAGTTGGGGAGACCTAGGCTAAAGGTAGGATCAAAAAGGAAACATTCCAGGCAGAAACACACATATAAATTTGTCTTTTTTTTTTTTAAATAGTTTACTCTGGAGATGGCTGTGTTTCTGCTTGATGGGAAGATGGAGGTGATGGCCCTTATTTGGGTGGGCAGGGTTTCCTGTGGCTGTGTGTGATGTCTCCTCCTACCTGTCATGGGACAGTTTCAGCTGCTGGGTTTGCTGCTCATGCGCATTGATTAGCAGCTTTTTCAGTAGCTCACACTGCTGGCTGAGATGCAGGTCACGGATTTCTTGTTCCTCAGCACTGTGGGTGTTGATCATTTCTGACCACTCTTTGGTGTGCTGTGCCACAATCTCTTTGACCTGTTCAGACAAAGGGGATGGGATGATATCACCTGGGATTCTCACAGATCAGGTATGTATTAAAATAAACAATACTATTTATGCATTTCAGATCCCTTCTACCAATATACCTGGTGAATCAGTACATATCTGTGACCTGCTAAAAATCATATATACTAATCAGCAGGAATTAAGAAGTCTTTGCTTATTAAAATACAGCAATCACTTCAGTTCTAAATATTTAACAGTGCCCTGTTAGTGATTAATTTGCCCATACCCTGGTCTGTCTGGGTCTTGGGATCCTTTAATTAATTCCATCAGAATTCTCTTAATACCTCATGCTTTTCCAGGTCCACTTTTACAGGCCACAGTTCTTTTATTCCTGGATCTTATGATGTCAACCCTATTAGATATTGAGGTAGAAAGTTTCCTCCCTCCCTGTATCCAAGCTCTTTGCAATGAGGCTAGGCTGCTTCATTCATTAAGTGGCAGAGTCTATTTCTTCATCTCCTGGAATCTAATGGCCTTGTGAATTGCTTTAACCAAAGGGACAGTAGCAAATGTGACACACGCTGATGCTTGAAAAGTGCTTGCTCTTTTGCTACACTTGAAACGCTGAGGTCATCATGTGAATGAACCAGTGCTAGCCTGCTAGAAGATGACAAGTCATGTAGAATGAAAATAGCCAGAAGCTAGCCAACCAATAGACATATAAGTGAGGCCATCCATCCCCAGTTGTCTGTAGAATCATGAGTGAGCCCAGTAAAAATCAGCAGAAGAGCTACCCAGGTGAGCAGAGAACAAGTTTCTGACCCACTGAATTGTGAGCAAATAAATGGTGGTCATTATAAGCCACTAAATTTTGGCATGGTTTATTATGTACCAAAAACTAACAGACACAGTGGCCCATATTTCTACTTTCCTATTTGAGAACGGGATCTAAAAATTACATCATGTTGCACGAGTATTAATTCTCAAACATTCTTGTTAAGAGGGAAGAAAGAGAGTGGGGAAAAACTCTCAAAGACATATGGTTTAGTGGCTCTATAGAGACTTCTTGGCAGAACAGACACAAAATACATAGTCCCAAGAAATTGAGCTTGAAGGACTTGGCTACTCCATGTCTGTGACAAGGCCACTGGGCTGGATGACAGGACTGCACAGAGATATATGGTTTGGTTTGACAAATAATTATAGTTAGGACCTTCCTTTAAGAGTTTCTTTCTAATTTTTTTTTTAAACTATTGTTACTGGAAGAACTGTTTGTGTCCTCGAATGGGACTTAGCACTCAGTTATCACATGTACCCAAACTTATTAAGGTCTTCTAAACACCTATCTTCTTGTGTCTCTGGAGAAATCTGAGTAATTAGGCTCATCTTCTAGATCATCAACTCTTGATTTTTTTTTTCTCATCCCACACTTCTACAGCATAGTTAGGAGGGAATAAGCATGAAAGAGTCACTCAACTTCTAACTTGGGGGGTGGTTTGCCATTTGTTTAGCTTTACATCTACAGGAAAGTCTATTCTACATAAGACACAGTATTTCTTGTTGCCCTATTCATTTATTGTTTCATTTGATGCTCACAAGAACCCTCTGAAGCAAACAACATAGATACTGTGAGCCTATTTCTATAGACAAAAGGATGTTCCACAAAACGGTTCTTACCACAGTCCATGTCCAGGATAAATGTGAGCCCCTGGGTCTCCTGACTTCTCAGATCAGCCCAAGGCTGCTGTTATTTCTCAGAACAGATACCAGTTCTAAACAAACACAAAATGTCTTTTGCAAGCAGCTGCTATAAAAATGGTCATTTTCTTACCTTAGATTTGTGATCTGATGTCAATGTCTGAATTTTAATTTCAGTTTCCTTTTTCATTTCGAGACAATTACTTCCTCTGCAAGTGGAAAATTGCAAATGATGCCAGAAGTTATATTATCTTTCCTTTCCAATAGCCCTTTGCTACCCAGCTTTCCAATGAAGACAATATGTTCATCAAACATGGAATGCCATGGCTCACTAGGCAGCATCAGTTTTTCCAGTAATAGATTCATACCTTACAAAATGTCATCCATACCATGATTATTCAACTCAACCACTTCACAAAAGGATACTTCAGACTTTACAATTATTTCATTGTCAGGGGGTATCTTGTCAGAGTTTCCATTTTGTTCCTGTTTTTTTTTTTCAAGCTATTTTTCACATTCATAAAATATTATTTGAGATGAAAACTGGAAAATAGGTCCTCAGCATCAAAGTGAATGTTTAATTCTCTCATTTTGGTTGGAAAGCCAAATTTTTGTCTTTTAAACATGCCAGCAAGGGAGAAAATAGCATTTCTTGGCATTATAGGGTAATTTTTGCTTCTTATTCTATTGTGAGTAGAAAATACATACTAGGCAATTGACCAGCAACTATTACTTCTTATTTCAGTGATTATTTTCTCCTTTTGCAATATCCATATTGTTGCTGAAACTAGAACAGGCTCTGAGCTTCTGTTTTCAGCAAGTATGCCTGGCTTATGATGGCTTAAGTCAGAATGCTACATTTCAGTGTTAACTGAGAGTTTCTGAGAGAACCATTACATTGATTCCAACAATGCTGGGTCTGCCATCAAATCTGCATCTCGATGGCTGGAACTGAGTATGTTTGGCCCACAGTCTGTTATTCAATGAGCTTGTAGCATTGCTGACACACTCCTGTGGCTTAATTCTAAACAAAATCTTTCACAACAAATGCAATGATGTGTTTTAGTCAACAGTCTTATCTGTTAGCATAAGCTAAGGATTCCTGTAATATTAAAAATCAAGACTGTATTTTTCCCTCTAGTGCATCAACCTTATTATTTATATTTTGGCTGGACAAAATAATTCCTGTGATTTTGAATTTTCTCAACTTCAGCTTGTCCTGCCTTCTTCCTGCATTCACTATCTCCCCATCACCTCACAGATACTTGAGTGGAAAACTCAACATGAGACATAGTTATCACATGCTTAACCAACAGCTAACACTTTCCTTCCCCATGTCAATCATTCTCTTTGATGCTGAGAAGTAGGAAAGATTAAAAAGAAACCTTTTATTTATTTTAGAAGCTGATCCTGCTTGGGAGATCTTCTAGGACTGTAACCAGTTTCCCCATTCACAGACTTTTAGCAAGTTGGTGGCAGTAAAAGTCTAGGCAACATTTGAGGATTCAAAATGGAGTCTCATCTGTAATCACCATGCTATTTCCCTCTAGCATCAGCCGAGCGTGGACGCGGGAATTTGCATTGGATTGGCTTTTTGGTGCTGAGGGGCCTCGTTAGCGGGATCTTTGAGTGTGCCTGAGCGTGGTGGAAAGTGGTGACTCCCTAACAATGGGAATCTTTCTTGAAATTGAGCTGTGGGCTTGTAAATAGCAGCACGTCACCAATAACAGCCCGCACAAAGCCCTAGAAACTGACCCTAGCAGCACCAAGCTTTCCTTCTTCTGCTCCCACCTTCTCTGCCAATAACTTCACTCATTCAATAGAAGAAACCATATTCAGCCAATTACCATACAACCTTCCAGTTCGAACTCTAAATCCTCTTTATGACAAACAGAAACCCATATCCACTTTCCACACAGTGATTCCACCATCACAAAGAAAACAGCAGAGTGACCCAGCATACCTGAATCAATAATAAAGTAAAATACACCAGCTTCACCTTTTCAAAATACTAAACGATAAAACCAAGACAAAACAAATCAACACGTAACCAGCAGTTAAAGACAACCTCAAAATGTCTAGGAAACAATGTTGTTGTTGTTGTTGTTGTTATGTGCCATCGAGTCAGCCCTGACTCATAGCGACCCCTCCTTGGGTTTCAGAGGCAGTATCACTACGGAAGTAGGATTGCCTTCTGGTTAGCAGTCAAGTGCCTTAGCCAGGCAACCTCAAATCAAACAACAATAACAACAACAAAAAAAACAGGACAAGGCATTAGAAGCAAAACCACAAACAAAGGTCTCATTATACACGGAGGAAGTGGAGGCAATAGAATTATCTGAGAAGGAATTTAGAAGACATGCTAATAGAGCTATACAAAAACCTAAGGAAACCGCAAACAGAAACAAGGAGAACACAGACAGTTCCCTGGAGGAACTCAGGAAAGTCAGTGAGGAACAGAATATTAAGATTAATACACAATCAGAGTTCATACAAAAACAGCAGTTAGGAATGCAGAAAATGTCTATTGAAATGCAAACCATGAACACCAAAATGATAGAACTACACAACACAGTAGAAGCTCAAAAGAGCAGATTAGAACTGGCTGAAGAACGCATATCACAACTAGAAGACAAATCCCTGGACACTAGCCTGTATGAAGAAAAATCAGAACAAAGATTTAAGAGAAACAAAGAGAGCCTAAGAATTATATGTGATGACATGAGATGAAACAATATAAGACTCATTGGAATTCCAGAACAAGAAGAGGAAAAAAAGACTACTGAGAAAATTGTGGAAGACCTGCTAGCAGAAAACTTCCCCCATTTCATGAAAGAAGAAAAGATTTTTGTCCAAGAAGCTCATAGAACCCCACACAAGATAGATCCCAAAAGAAAAACACTGAGGCATATTATAATCCAACTTTCCAAAATGAAAGACAAAGAAAAAATTTTGAGAGCTGCCCGGGAAAAAAGAAATATTACTTATAACAATCAAACAGTTAGGCTGAGCTCTGATTACTCAGCAGAAACCATGCAGGCAAGAAGGTAATGGGAGAGCATGTATAAAACTCTGAAGGAAAAAAACTTCCAACCAAGAATCCTATATCCAGCCAAATTATCCATAAAATATGAGTGCAAAATCAAGGCATTCTCAGATAAACAGAAATTAAGAGACTTTGTGAAAACCAGACCAACCCTACAAGAAATGCTTAAGGAAGACATACCCATAGAGAACCCACAACAGAGATCAGCAAAACCAAGATATGTGACATCAACTCTAAAACCAAATCAGAAATAGATACTCATAATAAGACCATAAAACATTCTACCTTAAAAACCAAGGAACTCAAGCAGCATACAACAACAGCAACTAACCTATCAGAGGGAATAATACTTCTAGGTTGTTGTTGTTGTTATGTGCCGTCGAGTTGGACCCGACTCATAGCAACCCCTCCTTGGGTTTCTGAGGCAGCATCACTACAGAGGTAGATTGTCCTTTCCGAGGAGTGGCTGATGGGTTTGAACTGCCAGCCTTCTGGTTAGTAGTCAAGTGCCTTAGCCACTATGCTACCAAAGCTCCCTCAAATGGAGAGGAAAACATGACAATGTCTTTGCAGCATGCAATGTTCTAAAAATGTAGAGACAAGAATATACTCCAAGGTAACCACAGAGAAGAGTAACAATTCTTCTAAGCAAATCCAGAAGGAAAGAAAACGTAAGGGTTTAATAAACACAAAACCAACTATAAAGAAGAAAAGGGAGAAAGCATTAGCCAACTTCTGAACTCAGCACAGAAATATACACAGACCAAGTAATCACCAATGACACGACAAAAAACCATAATAGAATAACACCAATCAACTCATACCTATCACTAGTTACACTCAATGTGAATGGACTAAATGCACCTATCAAGAGAAAGAGAGTGGCAGACTGGATAAGAAAAGAAGACCCATCGATATGCTGCTAACAAGAGACACACCGTAGACACAAAGATAAAAACAAATTAAGAGTTAAAGGTTGGAAAAGAATATACCAAGCCAATGGAAACCAAAAAAGGGCAGGGGTAGCAATTGTGATTTCTGATAAAATAGACATTAAGGTGAAAAACATCTTAAGAGACAAGGATGGGCATTATATGATGCTGAAAGGGTCAATTGACAAAGAAGA